TGTGTGTGTGTGTGTGTGTGTGTGTGTGTGTGTGTGTGTGTGTGTGTATGTGTGTAAATGTATTTGATGCCCACTGTATATTGGCACTGACAGGTGCAACAGTTGTGTTATGCTTTACACTTCTTATTTGTCGGATATGCTGCTTTGTGTTGCTGAGTTATGGGACAAACAAAGAGAAAGGAGAGCAGCCCAGAGACTAATTTATTCACTCCACACTCACCCCACTTACATGGGTCTATTACTGTGGCAGACATGTCATTCCTTACGATCATGTCGTAGAATTCCTGTCCAATTGCTCACATCCTGACCGCAGGTCATTCTTAGAGAGTGGTACATATGTATACATACAAATCCATACATACATACATACATAAACACACATGTATATATATATATATATATATATATATATTCACAGCACTGTTTATATATGCTTATTTTATGATTAAGACATTTTCATTTAACTTCGTGGCATCATTTTGTAACTCATTGGATGTAATTCAAATGGTTAGTTTGATGCTCAACAAAAATAGTTGGCTGGGCATTTTGCATTTTTGGATCAATTAACTGACCCGTCAGAGTCAACTGGGTTTTTTTTTGTTTGTTTTCTTTCTTGTTTGTTTTGGCAATGATACCTGAGAGAAACTAAAATGTAAAACTTTAGAAAGAAAAAAAAAGTGCTGTAACATTGTACAATTTGAGAAGAAACATTTTTTTAAATATTTTTTTTATCCTTTGGATGTGCATGGACTTTATAAAAACATGCATTTTCCTGTGCTCTGGAGAAAATAAATGCAAAGTTAGAGTTGCAGCAGTGTTTGGCGTTTGCACATAATGCCAAGTGTTCAATAGACCGTGTTGGCATTTTTGTTTGTAAGCACCTTTCACAAAACTGTTGCAACACAAGAATGTGGTGAAATATGCCAACGGTTTATTGCTTTAAAGATCAGTACAAAGCATTGCATCACTAATACACAGAAAGAGCACAACGTGCAGGTTATGACATAAATAATCAAACTTGCACAGCATGGTTGTGCGTTGCTGTTGTGGTTGAAATGTGATGTTCATTCCTCTGTGGGTGTGGGAGGAAGTGTCTGTCCGTTTGTCAGTGCAGAGTAATGGATGGCAGAGTTATAGGAGTGGGAGGAGGCACACATCCTACTCCAGACAGCTGTAATGGATGAGACTACAAAAACATAAGAAAAGGAGGCAGTCGGCATGAGCTCACCATCTCAAACTCTCATAAGCAGAGTTTAGTAGTATTGAAATCCACTAACGCGTAGATGTGAATAGAACAATGGAACACCTGGAGAAACAGACAGGGCTGATGGTTTGTGTGTGCGTTGCTCCATTGTTTTGCATTTGTGTTACACAGGCACGCACACCTGTGTTTGTGCTGATGTATCTGTGAGATCTGCGAGTGTAATGTGTCTTTTCATTTGTGTGCCTTGCCTTTGTAGCCGAACATTCATCAGAGAGTTTGATGTTGGGAAATCGATGTTTATCCAGACCAACCTCCTCAGCGAGCCCTGTTCATTTTAACTAGGTTTTAATTAAACAAGACAAGCACATAGAACACTTCAAGGAACCTATTTATCATCTGGTCCTCCAAGCTACGTAGTCCAGCATCCACATATTAAGACACCCTCTCTTCTCCCTCCTCCTCCAACGCCCGTCCCCTCGCCACAGCCTACTCATTCACAGCGCCTCAGGAAACCCACCTTCACTTATTGAACACATACAGTACCGCTGCTAAATAATAAATCCCATGTTATGTCTGCGTGCATGTCGGAAAGAATAGCTGTTGTGCATGTGCACGTTTTCTAACAGCGCATGGATCATCCCAGCAGTGATTTCTCCTGATTTCTTATCAAACATTTAAACCAAAGAGGGCTTGTGTGAGGTGCAGCCCTCTCCACCTGCTTGCTTCACCCCTTCAGGAGCAAAGTTTGTTGTCTTAGTAGCAACTCGCCTCACATCAACCTTCTGCAAATATCGTATTGTGCAAAAACCACAGCCTGGTTTTCACTGTTAAATCTGAGCAAAGCTATTGTAAATTGTTTATGTTTATAAGAAACAGCCCGATTACCCCCTCAGGTCTGTTGGGAGCCAGGGCCACGTGTCTCCAGAAGGGTTGAGGACAGAGAGAACAGAAAGAGTGTTGCTGTCTCTCAGTACGTTGTGCTTTAATGTATATTACCTTTGCTTCTGGCTTGTGGAGGATGTCTCCTGGCCTCTGTGCCAGATACCAGGAGGTGTTATCAGCCCTGCCGTGCTCTTTTTGCTGTAATGAGCCCCCAGACTCAGTATTATCTGTTTACGATAAGGATATTAATAACACTGTGCTTTAGTTATATGCTCCGGTTTCCTCTGCAGGGTGATTTTGTCAAGAGTTCTTTTCAACCAGGATAACACTCAGGCAGCATAGAGCTAGTTACTTTGGAAGTAGATTAAGTTACTTTCACTACTCTTTTGTTGAGGTTACCTTACTCATTCCTTTCCAATTAAACCTGCTTGTTTAGGTGTCTGTTTAAAGTACTGACTTCACTTTTTTAAACTTTGATTAAGTTTACTGAAACGTGTACAACTATCCAAACTGCGTAGTTGCACACATTTGAGTGTTTCAGGCCTGATAAGGCACAGGCAGCAACAAACTTCTTTTAATCTTGTTCATTTAATGCTCCTCCACGACTGTGAAGCTTCACATTTCTGCTGTGCTGCTGTATTTGATGCGTCAATGAATTAGATGTATTATTTTGTGGCTGAAACTTTTTTGCTGCCGGTGCAAAGTTTACAAGTGATAGAAATGCTCTTTGTACGTTTGACAGAGACAACTTCTGAATAATGACAAGATCCTGGTATATTAGATAAATATATATTGTTCGTAAATATGTACATTTTGATTGGATTAAAAAAAAAGCTGCTTTCTGGTGAAGCCCCAACATGTGATTGCTTACATTAATTACAATCATACTGTATATTTAATACATATTTTCTCAGATTCAAATTACCTACACTATTAGAGGAAGCGTTAATATTACCAAAACACAAATGGGTGCTAAATAATTAGTGGATGTGCAGGGCATGAAAGGTGTTATACTGTCTAGGGATGTTAAGACAGTGCTGAGAGGTTCACTAGATTTTTCTCATTCAGGTCATTATTTTTACGAACAATAGCCTGACCATATGCTGGCAGGTCCAAGTGGGAGTTATGAGCTGAAGGGTTAAGGTAAAGGGTTCAAAGATTACAGCTGCCATGGCCAATTGAGAGGTCAAACCTTTGTTTTCACATTATTCTAATGTGTCCCCTTTCTGTCCTTTCTCCTGCTCTCCTTCCAGTGTTTGTATGGCTGCTACGTCCACTCCTCCATCATCCCCACCTTCCACCGCAGGTGCTACTGGCTGCTTCAGGTAAGAATTGGTTTAATCCTTCCTCACAGTTGGCCTCACTGTAGTTTACGCACCAACTCTGCTTCTGTCTCTCCACAAAAACCCTGAATGGGTCTCGTGATATCAGTCTCTATTAGTCTGAAGCGTTTACCTTTGACAGCCAGCAGGCGGACGCCAGCCTGTCCTTCCCTCTCTCTTCTATCCCTTTTTACTCCCCAGCCTCCATTTCCCTTATCTTTCCCAGTCATTCACTTTTCTGATGGCATTGCCCATACAAGCCGTCCAGCAGGACGGTATCTCAGTCTGCTAAAAGCTTTGCCATCTCCTCTGCTTAACAGCTGCAGTGATGGGCAGTAAAAGTGTGATGGAAGAGCCTCCCTGTACTGTACAGTGTGCTCACTGATGGTCATCAAGTCGGCAGACTGAGAGTGGTTGTAAATAGTAGTCCTTTGATCACATACCCAATACATTTCATTATTCCCTTTTTTGCATAGCAGCCATTACCGTTAGAGGATTCCTGATACAACCATTGTTACACACAGATTGAAGGAGATGTAAAATCAAAACAGGGAATAGGACTTTGTGGGGCCTGTGCAAGTGTTTTTTTTTTTTAGATGCATCTGCAACAAATCAGTGGAATAGATGTGTTATTAAGACTAAGACTGAAGAAGTTACGAGGGTGTGTCCCACAATTTAGGATTAACGTTGCCAGTTAAGCAGTACAAGCAACTTTGAGGTTTTCAATTAGGGCAAACATAAGAGATTTATAAGAATAATTTTCTTTCTAGCATCATTTTAAGAAAATCTAAAGCTCATCTATGACGAGACACAGTTGTACCCATTTGATCTAACCGTATACATTATATTATTAGGACTTGTTCAAGTCAATGGAAACATTAAAGCAAATATGTTCTTGTTTTTAGTATTTTACCTTGTTTTATGGCACCTTGATTTGTTGTTTTATAACACTACATTTATTTTAATTGCATTTTTACTGTAGTTTATTGTTGTCTGTACTTTATATGTTGTCTGTCTAAAACAGGTCCCTCTTGTAAATGAGTCCTCGTGACTCAGTGAGACTAACCTGGATAAATAAAGGTTGAATGAAAAATGAATTATGCAGGATTTCATGCAATATTGAGTGATCTTGCGTGATCTGTTAGCACTTGAAGTATGTGTTGAGAACGACTCTCAGCTACTATTAAACCAAGTCTAGCTCAATATCTGTAAAACTGAGTTACGGTCATTTTAATCAAGGCCAGTTATCTGTGTTGACTGTCTTGACTTGGGTTGATCAGTTGTAGAGATGCAGCCAACACACTCTTTTTGGGAGTTTATTTAAAATCTGTCTATTGGTTTGAGATATTTTGCTAATGCTACAACAAATGAATACACACAGACACGGGCAAAAATGTTACCACCTTCACCTTTGGCAGCAAGCGATGACTATTCTTGGTGTAGTCTGTCACTTCTTCTTTTACACATGCACAGTAAAACTGTAATTTAAAAAGGAACAAACAGGAAATTAAATAAAATCCCATAGCAATATTTAAACTGTTAACACAAAACAAAGTTTAGAAAAACTAGGACTCCTTTTTTCTTACAGGCCTCATAATAATCAAGTTTATAAAATATTAATACATTTAATTCCCTTTTGATTTTTAACAAAAATTTAAATTAGTGGAGATTTACATTTTAAAACCTACTTTTAATGTCTCCTTTTCACCACGTTAGCCTTTAATGTTTCTATTTTGTTCAAGTTGTCTCATTATCTTTGGTGCATTGAACAGAGCTATAAAGTCTTTGCTGGTTAAGTAGCAAATATAGAATGCCTAAATACCCATTACAATCATCAGAGGGTTCCGAGAGGCGAACACACAAAACTTTTTGCACGTCTTTTTATTTCTCTCTTTTGCTCCATGTTGCCCCGGCTCATGTCTCCTTTTCAGGCAGCAAAGATAATTTGGCAGTTTTAATTTCCTTATATTTCCAAATCATTATATTCACAAGATGTTTTATTTATTTATTTACTGTGAACGGCTTTCAAGAGTGTTATAAAGTGGTCTTTACATTAAAAGTTTTTCTTTTTTCCACAATGTGTCAGAATTATTCATGTAGAATTAGCTGAGATTCCCTTCAAACAGAACAAATTCCACATTCTTCTGTCTTTGCTCTATAAATTTAAATTGGAGATATTACTGTTATTACTGCATGATGCATCAAACTAAGTTTTTTATATAATTTTTCAAAGTTGCAAGGTTTTTTTTCCTCATTACTGACTCTGAATAGAAGAAATAAGGATTTTTTTTTTCTGAAGCAATCATAGAGGGTTTTCAGCAATAACTTTAGCTAACATATGAAAATGGTTGCACTGTTGTTTTGATAAAGGGCTAAAAATATGTACCTGCCCTCAAATTATAGTTCTAAAGAAGATGACTGAAATTAGATTCAAGCTCAAGTTATGCTAAGAAATGGAGACATTTAAAACATGGATACACTCTTTGCATCATGAGCTGGGGTCACACTGGGTCACTCTTTTTTTTTTACAACCTTCATTTTCAGCATCTCAGTCTCTCTGCACAAACACTTATCAAACTTTTAGGAATGTTCTGACTCAACTTTCCTCTCCTGTTGCTGAGAACAACTACTTAGTGACTCTTTGGCCTTTGCCTCACACTGCTCAGAAGATCTTCTTGCGCTTGTCTCGAGGCTTTGAGCTGCAAAAACACATCCATTCGTTCAGACAACAGTACCCCTCTGCTGCCAAAACCCTCACAAACATGCATTTTAAAATATGCATCTCTTTTGATGCAGTGAGTGTTAGACCATTAGGGTGAGGACGAGAAACAACAGTAATTTTGGCACTAGGGGGAAAGAATTACACCTCTGTTCACATTCCTTAAAATGCCTGAAAACCTTCAGCACCCCTGTCTCCTTCAAACAGTTTCAACCAGCTTGTCCACAGCCTTTCTTATTCCCTCACTAGCTCTTCTTTTTCACATTCCTTCAATCTCTGAACCCTCTGTTTCCAACTCCCTGTGTACCATTTGCTGTGTCCATATGAGATTTGCAAGCAGTAGTCTGTCAACATCAGAGCGGCAAGGAGACTGGAGCTCCCGGAGCGGTAACAGGGAAAGGTCACCAGTGAGTGAAAAATGTAAATATTCAACCATCCAGCAGCCACAGTCAAGGAGAGACTGGGATGAAAATAACTCGTATTGCACAGCACCGACAGGGAGGGAACGCAGAGGACACTGAGGGTCGAGACAGGAGGTGAATGAAAGAGGTAGAGGGACACAACTTTTCAAAAAAGTTACAGTACAGGAAGACTTGGAGAGGAATATAGATTTAAAGATTGAAGTTGGGGGTGAAACAGGTACAAATGCAATTGTGTGGGTATATAAAAGTGATTTTGGACATACATGTGGCAAAGCCAAGGAGCCTAAAATGAGACGGAGAGAGTGAGATTGATTAAAGGTATTTTAAAGAAAAAGATGGGGGGGGTATTAACCAAGGGTGTGTGCACCTCTTTATCCACTCCTTATCCACTCTTTATTGAGTCAAAGCCTGGGTAATGAGACGGGGGACAGGAAGAAAGACCTGCAAGGGGGGGTCTTCTCCCAGCGCATTCATTTTCTTTTGTTCTTTTCACCTCTCACTCTCAATCTGCTCATCCCACCTCCACCACTCCACCTCCTCCTTTTCATGGCATTAGGCCACTTTAGAAACGTTTGCCCCATCCCAGCAAATGGCTGAGATGGAGGGAAAGGAGAGCTGCAGTTATCCAAGGGTTACAAACAGTGAATCCCAATTGCTGTTGATGTAGACTATGTGAGATTTCTGTCAAACAAACAAAAAAGTTAGTTTTTATTGTTTTGTTATTTTTATGGTAAATTCTCAACACTAGCTGCAAAAATACTCATCATAAACACCTTGAAATCATTTAAACACCCTTAACAGCTGCAGTATGCATAAACAATGTATTCAAATGTATTGTCAGGTACGAGCTATGAGGAAACACACACACATACTCAATGACACAAAGAAACTTGCCTGTCCTAGCATCGCTGATTGATTCCATTGTCCCTTTTTCTTGTTTAGTGCTAATCGAATGTAATTCCCTACTTGTGCCTCTCCATCAAATCAGACGGTGGAGTTTGTACTGGCCGGCGGGGCCACGGAGGTGGGGATAATTATGACATTCATACGGAGGGGGTCTGAGGGAAAACTTCATTTGTCCCACTGCCTGCCACGAACACAGAGAGGGGTCAATATCCTCTCCCTGCTTTTCCTGCTTTAAAACAGAGGAGAGAGGAATGAGATAATAAAGTGACTGGTAAGGCAGGAGGGAATGCTGACGACCTTGTTTCTTCAGAGCTATCACTTTCTCCCTCTTACCTCTCGCAGCTTAGGCCACGGCGCTCTAGTCTCTGTCTCACATGAATACATTATTAATATCATCATTCACTGCTGGTACGTTTTTCCTATTACATTAGTCCTTCGGAATATAATGACTTTGGAACTACTTGAATCAGTGTTATGTTGGAAAATGAGTTGTCACTGTTGTCCCTGTGATCACTCCAGGAGTATTAGACAGTATTTTGGTGATTTGAATTCATAGACTCATTCAAAGGTTGCCTAATTGGACAGGCAGAATACCTTTGTCGTTAAGGAGAGCCTTTAGCACTTTAAACTGTGTGGTGCTGTCTGTGGTGCTGAAACATTTTTTTTTCCTCTTTTTGGTGGTATTGATTTATCAAAAACTACCTCAAGCCAATGCAGTCAGCAGATTGTGAACAGGGACTAACGCATGTGCACGTTGTGCTTCACACCTCAACACTAGTAAAGACAGAGGTTCCTCTCAGTCTGGCTAATTGAATGAGAAATGTTGAGAAGCTCCATTACTGTGTGAATCCATGGTTAGGCGCGCAAGCAAGATTCCACAGCTCCACAGTGGTCATGCCTGCAGGCTAAAGGCAGACAGATAGATTCTTTATAGCTATCAGAGCCCTTCTTTCCTT